CGCCCCCGTCATTCCAACTGCTTTACTTTCGTACCTGTGTTCTCGCAGTTTCTTCCCTACTTATTCACCAGTTTAAGAATTTTTCTTTTTCGTCTCCCCATTACTATACCTGCTACAATGACACAGATATTGTAGTGTTGCGTCATTCTCAGAATGCGATGTAGGAATTCAAACCGCGCACTTAAACGACAGGGCGGCCCGGATTTTGCTGGTCACACAGAATTAGTTATTCTCACAACAACAAAAATTTAAAAAAAAACCTTCATTTTCTTAATGCATAATGCGTCTTTTTGGAATGGAAATTAGCCTTGGGGCTATATTGCGGCTATACTTATTGGTTTCTTGAAAATTTTCGGTTGTTTATATTTGATATTTATGATAAACATGTTTTGCTCTTGAATTTTTTCATATTGGTGTGGTTCTTCGTTTAGCCTCAGAATCTTTGCTTTATTTACATATGGATATAAAGTAATAGAATAAAGTATGTACATGAATATATTAAAGATATTAAATTTTTCAAGTATTTATGTTTATGTTCATCAATTTTTTTCTGGTTTAGAAATGGAGAAAATGCAGGCTGCTGTAATTTTGACTGCTGCCACTGTGACGTTGGTGAGTAAAAATTTATTTTCTTCATTTCCATTTCATGAAACTTACTGTGTAGTTATACAACGTATAAAGACAAAATATTACATCTTCAATTAAAGCATTTTCATCAATCTTTTTTTCCAATAGATGACGTAATGGCTGCCTGTTTTTCATTGATTAAATACATAAACATAAGTTATGAAAAGTGTTATCAATATGTAAAAACATCATTTCTATTTTAATAAACTGTTTAACTGTCTATAAAGAAACTTTGGAATTTTATCATATTTATTTAATTAATCATTTACACATATGTTTATAGTGTTTTGAGGTAAAATTAGTTGGTTTAGTATTTTCAAGTTTTCAAACATTGCTCAGTTACACAAGTTCTATTGGACTAATGGTGAATTTGGATATAGCGTACTTGTGCTTTTGTGATATGAAAATTAAGTGTTTTAGACATTTCTCAATACAAAAATAGTTTTGCTTAATCCCCCTTCCTCCCTCAAAAAACATTTCTGGTTTGTGTGCATAAAATACTGATTTAAAAAATATTACAGCTCATATTCTCATTAATAAATTTATATTATTGAGTTTCCAACCCTTTGGTCAAGATTTGACAGCATTAATCTCTGAAACTCCAATGAAAGAGTAAAAGATGTTATTTTAACTGTCATGAATGGAAAAAAACTACACATTGATTGACAAGTTAATTTCCTAATAAAGTTAGATTGTGTACTGTTTGTTTTATAGAACCATTTAACGCCAAGGTTTCAAATTTTCTGTATTAACTTCTCCACTTTTACTTGGCATTAGTTTTCTATGTCATATTTATAAATAGTGCATATAAAACTTTTGTAATGCACTTTCAAATAATTAAAAATTACATTTTGAAAGGTAGTTGGAACAAAGTACTTTTAGTCCAACTATTATTTTATTTTTTTCCTTGTAGATATTTTGTCATCAGTTTCTTGCTTTCAGTACATATTGTTTTAAATGTACTGCAAATTGTAGCGAATAAAATTGTATGTCTTATTTTGGCATTAGAAGTTTGCATTCTTACATTGCATTATTTATTATTATTATTATTATTATTATTATTATTATTATTATTATTCTGCCAATTTGGTTACAGTTAATTCTCCTTTGTTTTCCACATTAGTTTGAGCCAAAATTTTCATGAAGTGGAGATGTAGGTGCAGTGTTCTGCCAATTTTATGTTTGCATATACAGAATATTTCATTTATGCTGAACATTAAAGTAATTTTACTTGTTATTTAAAAATTTAAATTTGTGGTTGGAGGGTAAAAGTTTTTAAGTACATAAGTCATAGGTAAAAACTTCCGAACTTCAGTACCAATGTTCTCAAAAATATTAAAAAGAGGATGAATAAAGTCCAGAAAACATTTAAGAGTTTTGTCAATATTTTCAATGTATCAACACTTTTTAACAGATATGTTTCTACATTCGTGGACACGCTGTTACTAAAGAGATCAAGCCTGACCTTCATAGATGGGAGAGGGGGGACTGAAGCTCCATGATCTCCCACCTTGTATACTGCTGATTTGAACCCATTATTCTCTGTTAATTACCTCATACAGTCCGTACGGTATACAGATGTATTGCAGCAAAAAAGGGTCGATATTTTGAGCCTCTCCCCCAAATAAAGAGTTGCTACTGAAAAAGTTTTCTCAAAATATCTGTCTGTGAGACAACACTAGCACGTGTAAACTGTGTCTGAGACAACACTAGCGCCTTCTTTATAAACTGTTACACAGGATTTTCACCAAAATGGGTTTTCCCCGAATGAGCTGGGTGTTGTCGCGGTCCCTCGAATCCGAAACAAATATTTTAACATTTGAAGACATTTTACATTAAGGCCTAGGATTTCTTCAAACTTTTCTTTAAAAAAATTAAAATAGTAATAATTTTTTTCCATAATGTTTTGCTCGAATGCAGTTACGCCTGTAAAACTAGTGCATGTCCGATTTTTAGTAAAACCTGATTTATCGAAAGTTTCTAAAGTTACAATTTGTCGGCGTCTTAATTTTTTAAAACATTTGTTTCTTTATTTTTTTATGAGTCAAATCCGCCTATTATTTTGTCAAATGTCCGATAATCGTTAAAACAGGAATTTTGAAAATTGCTAAAGTAATTTTTTTCGAACGTGACTTCCATAAGAGATTTCATTCTTAAAGCAGTATATTTCTCAATATTGCTTCTTTAAATTTTCTGATGTTCAAAATGAATGGATTTCGAACGGAACAATGGGGATATTATGTGTGAACTCGTAATACGCGTGTTGGTATTGCTGTTTCTTGAAGTGCTGGAGGTCTGGGATTCGCATCCTGGTTTGCCTCCAGAAATTAGTTTTTGTAACGGTTGATTATAATATTCTATACAAGATTCTGTATATAATTTGTTTCATGACCATTGAAAGACCTTTTCCTTCAGTTTTTCAAAATGAAAATAAAGTGCGAGGAGAGCAGTTGTAATATTATTTTACGTAATTATTATATTTAATACGAAAAGGGATCAACTTATCACCCCAAGATTTTTCATGATTTATTTCAACCATTATTATTATTATTATTATTATTATTATTATTATTATTATTATTATTGATATCTTGTTTATGTTTCGGACGTTAAGTTGTTCTCAACATTGAAATCCTGCTTGCCGAAGAGATTTCGTTTTATTAGTATTGTAAATACTTGCAAAATATCTATCACTTCATCAGCCCTCCATTTGCAAAAAGTTTCATATTCTTCATAACTTGTTTTTCTCGGGCAACAATTTTGAAAGTGCACACTCTTCTTTAAAAACTAGTGCTAAAACAGTACGTACTTTCTCCCTCGTATTTTCACGCAAAATTACGCGAAAAGGACTCAAGTTTTCGACAAAATTGTACATGATCTTATTTCCAATTCTGTCTTTAAGGAACAGATTTCATGAAAGGAAAGGCTCTATCTTTAATATTTTAGCTGTAGGAATACTCCGAAAAATGTGTGAACTTTTGCAATTTTCAAATAGTCAGAGTTTTCGACGAACATGAGACTTGCACCATTCTCCTCAACGTCCCCCACACTATACAAAAACAAAATTTAATCAAAACCGATGGATCCTTTTTTGAAAATGTCCCACAGTCTTAATGTGAAATAACCGCTCAAAATTAAAATATCGTTTACTTATTCAAGGGGCCACTACATCAGCCAGATCGATTGCGGAATATCAATTTTGGAGAAAATCGGCTGAACGGTTTAGCCGCTAGCGTTGTTCACAGACGGACGGGCGGTTTGTTGGTATCAAGCACCCACAACAAAAGGAGTCTGACTACAATACGTAATAGAGAGCCTTTTTTTCTCAATTTAGCAACTGAATCTATCCATTTTTTTGTTACTAGGGCTCTGTAATAAGAGGTTTCTATTGAAAACTCCGTTTTTTTCGCGCATTACGTAACATTTATCTCTACTCCGTAGCAAGAAAGTAATATTTCAAGAAATTGTTCTACCTGAATTTTTGATACTAGCTAGACCGCAGGAGGAGAACTCTAGCGGCCGGCTCTCTTGATCGGCAATTTTCTGTAATCTCTCCAATTAGTGCCAGGTAAATGCCAGATCAGTACCCTGACGAAGGGGCCATAGACCACGCCCGATCTTTACTTCCTCTGCCCTTACACACACTTACATGCACTGCACTATCTCACATCCGGAGCTCAGGTGACCCAGTTTGGGCGGTGCCTCACTTGGATGAGTTGGTGTAACCCCCTCGCAACCGACGTGTAGTTGCCGGATCTCACCACCTAGCGAGGGAGGGACATTGCCACCTCCTATGATACAAACATTATCTACACTAACGAGACTAATGGCCGAAGCAGTTGGCGTGCCCTGAAACATCGATTAACAGGTCTATAATCCACAGAATTACTCAGACCATCAGTTTTTCCTGAGCGCTGGTCGTCAGTTCCTCTTCATTTCTACGTTGGTGTGGTGGTTGCCGTGAAGCGGACGATAAATTTTGGTGGCAAATGCCGCTAAGCTAAGAGACATTCGAAAAACTCTTGAAGGGATTGTGGCAGTAACAAATCGACAAACTTGTACCAATTTATTAACATCTGTATGTAGCGGGAGGCTTGTTATGTGGGGGTGTGACTTATCGTGATACTGTCTTAAAGTTCAATTCAAATGTGAGGGCTAATGAGCAACCCGTATACGAAATTTAGTAATGCAGTAATGTAGACCACTTAAACTGCAACTATTTATTGTAATCAGTAGGCCATAGTCATAAATATATAACACAGTGCTGACTGATTTTATGGTTCCTGGCACATTAACTACTAGGATCATTAGTGAATCCCGTAAGTGTAGTGCGTGTTTTTGCTCTGGTGATCGCTGTGATATTTCTCCGTCCTGCCAGTGGGGCACCGTCCCCGCCGGGACAAGCTCTCAGCTTCCGACCGGTCTCCTGGCATGTGTGCTTTAGTAAGGGGAGAGAAGAGGACATGGAAAATCGCGCGCGGCCCGTGGCCCGTTTCGTAGGGTACTGCTCCGTCATTCGCCTGGTGTTGATCGGAGAAACCACAGAAAAGCCGGCCACTAAAATTCTCCTCCAGACAGCGATGAATTCGACCTAGTTGACAAGCTAGTGTCGAAAATCCTGCCACTGTTGGGATTCGAACCTATGACCTCCCAGTCTGAGGGACTGTAGTGACATCAGTTGATGCTCTGTGCCATCTCTCCCGGTAACACGGTATTAACTGAAGTTATCTTGAAAATATTGGACAAAATTTGAAGCACAGATTCAAAAGTATTCATTTCTCCGTCCTTGTCACGTTCAAATTAACAGAATCGCCACTGCTCACAGAAAATACTACATGTTACAGTAATAAATTAGTATTGTGATTTAATGTTCAAAAGTAACTAAACTGTTGATAGGATTTGACCCAATCACCAACTTGGAAATTTCTTAAGTTTGTTAAAAATTAAGTAACCTAATAAAATTTGTAATTTGCTTGAGCAAATTA